AATTGGGGCATGTATGACAGCTACTTGCTGAGACTCGTTTCAGGATGAGACAAGCAATTGGTACAACTTGCAGATGTCAGAGCCCCTGGATATATCAGGGAAGTTTTATTATTTGACTGCTAGTTTCATAATCTGAGGGCGCCCTTGGTTGTCAAGTGTGCTTCCTATCATCTGCACTTGGCAAAGGTGCTTGAGTCCCTTCTTGTCAGGCATGGATTTCACCCATACTATCTATGTCTGTATTATCTTAAGGCTATGGTGCTGTGATGCATTCTTCATTGGGTCCCTCCTTAAAACTGTGCAGATGTTTCAGCTGGTGCAAAGTAGGGTGTCTCTCTCTATCAGGATCTTGAGTAGAAGGTACTCTACATGCATGCTCTGTGATCTGTACTGTTCATTTTGACTGAGGGTCCTTCTCCTTGAGTTGTTATAGTCTTCAGCATCCTTGGTTTGCTAGAGGCACTCATACCAAGACTTAAACAAAAATACCTTTATGGTATTGCCTCTGAGATCAGTCGGCTGTGCCCTAGCTGAATCATTCCACTTTCTAATGTGTGCCGCAACCAGGTCTCTTACTACCTAGTGTAACATGCTGCAGTAGTTGAAATGATCTGAGTCACTACAACTGTCAGCTCCCTTTTGGTATAAATGAGAGAGACATGGCTGGGGGGTGAATGACTCTTCCATCCTTTGAAAACTGGATCCTAGATTTGGTGATCTTCAAGGTAAGCTTTTTTATTTTTCTGAGTTTAAACTGCTTGAGGCAGGGTGTTACCAGTTGGTTGCTGTTAATAAATTATGGAACTAAGAGTTGTCTTTAATTTGTTATCCCTTACCTGTGATCTCCACATTATATTTTTAGTAGAGTAATATGTTTAATGCAAATTGTGTAATGTGCGTAAGGAAGAAAGTATAGGTACTAGACTTACACAAATAAATCCATAACAAGCAGCCAGAGCTACAACCTTGTGCCAAGAAAACTTCCTCAGCTTGGGGTTTTCCCTATCTTCTGGGTTTCTGCTGCTTGCCAAGCCAACTCCCCAGCTGTGCTGGCAGCACAGCAGCACCACCTGTTGCTGTTCTACAGCAGCTGCTACTTCTCTTATCTCTAGACAACAGCCTGCCTCTTCCCTGGTACAAGAGGGAAGCACAGTGCCTCTCTTCTGTGCTGCTGAGAATTTGTTCCCTCATCAAAACAAGCAGCTTGTGCCTGATACCTGGCCTACACCAGGAAGGTCTTTGTGCCATTTGTAGTCCATGTTTGAGAGAGGACCCAGGCTGGTATAGGGGAAGGGAAGAACCCAATAAGGGGTTTCCTAAAGCATGGCAGAGGAGTGGAAAAGAAAGGCAAAAAGGAAAAAAGAAACTGAAAGAACAAAATACATAGAATAAAAAATGGAAAAGCAGAGTACAACACAAAGGTATATAGAGTGAAGATAAATTTGAATTTATATTATCCTGGTCCATTTCAATCTGAGTATGAAAGCAGCTTTCAAGGTTTGAACTGTTATATTTAAGTGGTTTGTACATTGAAAAAGCACATGCAGAAACATTGAATTGTTGCTGATCTATTTTGCTTGCAAAAAAGGTTACCTACAAACAGGTTGGATATTGCTGCATATAATGGCTGGCTTCTTCATAGATGCCCAATGGAGCAGGCAAAAGTGATGATAAATTTCTGATTTCAGGAGATTTCATATTCCTGGAACTTTGTTCTTCCTGATACATGAGGAAAACAGCTGCTTTAACTTCATAACCTGAGGAAAGAATATAGCTTCCAACTTCATGCCTAAGCAAAACTTAAAGTGGTTATGTGATCAGCTTTGAAATCTTCTTGTTGGTCATTGTAGGTCAAGAGAAGACAGTAGATGCAAAAGATCTGTTTTCTTTACCACTCACCAGACTGAAAATAATGCCTGGGAGAAGCCTGAGGCTGGAGAGGATTCTTCGAAGAAAAGGTGAGGGACTTCTTTACATAAGCACTTTTGAAAGGTCATTTTACAGGGGTGAATCCTGTGCCCACCTCTGTGAAAGGCCCCTGCAGAATTAGCTTAGGACCAGCAGTGAGGAGCATGTTGAATTCTACTGGGGTGTTTGAATTAGGTCACAGCCCAGTGTGGAGGTGGGAGACACTTGGCAAAGCTGATATTAATGCTGGCTGAAGAACCTGACCTTGGATGTTGTAAACAAGGGTCTCAAAAATTATACCTCTAAGAAAGAATTTGAAATGAAAATTTGAGGCATTGTCATCAAAGAACTGCTGTTTGATTTATATGAGAAGAAAAATATATTCTGCGTTACTCAGCCTTGAGTTTTAGCTATGTGACAGTTTGAGGCCCTGTCAGAGGAGATTAGTTATTTCATATGGTAATCATAACCAGCATCCTAATAGATTAAAAATATCTCTCTTACTTCTAGAATGAGACTGGCTTTTTGATGTGAGTGTGACTTGCCCTGAAATAACTTGAGGCAGAACATTTTCATGGCATTTGCTTTTTTTCTTCAGGCATGGAGCATGTCGTCTGAGTGGCAAAATTTGCCCCTATCTTTTTGGTGCATCTTTCTTCCTCTCCCCACCCCACCTTTCAGAGTGAAGCACACCTGCCAACTCAAAGGTTGTTCCTTAAAATACACTGCTACAGATGAGTATGGATAAATCTTAAACAGGAATGTCCCCGACGGGCCTTCGTAGAACCCTACTAGTAGTGTAGCTCTCCGTTCGGGTGACCACCCTCTGCACCGAGCATTGGTGTTACTGCAGTTCAGTTGTCTTCCCCGCTGCACCAACCCCGCTTCTCGCCTGCCACGACTTTGCTGTTATCCCAGTGGGCGGGGCCAGTTCACCGGTCCCTCGGTGTCCCGGGTTGGCCTCGTTGGTTATACACGGGGCTCCAACCACCCCTACACCCCGGCCTCACGCCACCTGTGGTCTTCACCTCCCTGCACCGACTCAGCGAAGTGCCTACAGACTCCTCCC